ATAAATATTATATTATTATAATAAATATTTAAATAACTTAAAATATTTTTATCAGAAGAAAATACTATATATTTTATTAAATAATAATTATTATATTTTTGTTTATTTTTATCAATTTTTTAGTCTTAGCTTTTTCTTGAATTTTTTTTATAATTAAAAATATTTTATTATATAAATATAATAATTATTATAAAATAAAAACAAAAAAAAAATATTTTTTTATTAGTATATACTTTAATATGACTTCAATATTATGACTGAGTATTAATCTTAATGATTACAGATTTACAAATATATGATAGAATACAAATGTCAAAAATTACAAACATATTAAACATATTTAACATGTTTAATATAGTTAATATAATTAATATAGTTAATATAGTTAATATATTAGATATATCAAAATATGTAATAGAATAGATATAAATACAAGCTCTTTTATAAGTTAGAAAAGACAGACTAACGGTTATATAAAAATCTCTCTCTTGTAAAAGATAGCGCAATGCTACACTTCATTCATGTACTCTTCTTGTCTCTTTATTTTCTTATTTTTTTCATATATTATTATCTTATTATTTCTTTTTAAACAATAAAGTATTTCTTATTTTATATCATAAACTCTTTGCGAATTACTATAATAATTTTAACTTATGATTAAAACTGCTTACATAAAAATAAACTTAACTCAACTTGACAAAACTAGTAATAAAATAACTAAATCTATTGTATAACTAATTAGAATTATACGTAAACTATAAAAGAGTCAACCTTTTGATACTATATCTAATAGTTGCAATCTAAAAAGATTGCACATTAACAATATTAAGACAATTTATTTTATAATTTTTATATTAGGTAATTTATATTATATGATAAAAATAATTGGTTAAGAAGTTTACTAAAAAAAGCATTTCTAAAATAATATTACACTAAAATTTTATTATTTATTAAATATTTTTTTTTAATATTTTAAAGATATTTTTTAATTAATTTTATTTTGTTTAAAGTTTAAATAAAAATTAATTAAAATTTTGATATAAATTTATTTGGTATTTATTTTAATGTAATAATATTTCAAAGTTACTTTTTTTTAATAAAATCATAAAATTTTTATTTTTATTTTAATATAAATTAGTTTATATTACTTTAATATTTATAAAATAATTATTTCTTTTAATATAATAGTTCTAATAATTACAGTAATTAAAATTATTTTAAAATTGAATTATTTTAAATTTTTCATGATATTTAATTTTAAAATTTTTAAATTATTAATAATTATAAATTATGTAATAAGTAGTATATAAAAAGTATATATATTAGTTGATAAATTTATTACTAAAATAAGAAAATTATATTAATTTCTTATATAAATTTACTTTTTTATATGTAATTTATCTATTTTTAATAATAATTTATGTATATTTTATATTATATAATATATGTATGTTAATAATAATGTGTATATACACATTATGTATATAAATTTATATATTAAAATAAGATATACAGTAATTTAATCATTATAATTTAGCTATTTAAGTTTCTTTTTATAGAAATAATTTTGATTATTTCAATTATTTACTTATATTTTTAAAATTAAAAAAAAAATTTATATATAGTAATAAATAGAATTTTTATATTTTAGTTTAATTTATTTTTAAAAATTAAAAAATCTTATTAATTTTTGTATTATTTTAATTTCTATTATCATTTTTTTGATAATTTTAAATTTAAAATAATATATAATTTAATTTGAAATTAAATGATTATAAAGACAACAATTTTGTTTTAATATTATTTATGATTTAAAATAATTTATTAAAAGATTTAATTATATTTTCAGAATTTATAAAAATTAAAAAGATTTATAAATATATTATATAAAATTGGATTTAATATTTTAATCTTATAAATACTTAATAGATTAAATTTAGACTTAACTTAATTTTGATTATTAGAATTAAATTATTATTATTTTTTTGTTAAAATCATTAATATATTATTTTATAAAAAAAGATATTTATTATTTTACTTTTTATATATTTTTATTATTATCATAGTATCAATTTATATTAAAAAGCTTAATCTATATTAAAATAAATATGCTTATATTATTATTCTTTTTTACTTGTTAAAATAAGATAACTCATACTATGATTTTTTTTAAAAAAATAAAAAATAAAAAATATTTATAATTTTAAAAAAAATAAATTAGATTTATTATTCTTACTAAAATTATTTTTTTTAAGTATTTAGCTTTATAAAAACTAATCTTTTTATATTAAAATTTAATAGTTTTTTTTTTTGATTATTTTTAACAGATAGAAAAATCAAAATAGAGAAATAAACTATTACCTATGATAATTATTATTTATTATATATTATTATATAAAATTCTATTATTATATAAATTATATCATTAAAATAGTTTTAAATTTTTAAATAAGTAATGTAATTTGAAGATGAATTATGTAATATTATCTTTATAAAAAATATATATCTTTATTTTATTTACTAAGAGAAAATAGATCAAATAAAATTTATCTAAAATATCAATAATATAAAAATCTTTATAAATTTTTTGATAATAACATTTTTGTATTTATATAATAGCTTTATTTTTAAAGATTTTAAAGTTTTAATAATTCTTATAGTAATAAAGAAAAAGTTTTCTCTATTATTTTTAGATTTGAAATAAATATCTCAAATTATTGCTTTTTTACCTTATTGAATAAAATTATAGCAAATTGTTTTTTATCAAATTTTTTCTTTGAGAAATATTATTAAAAATTTCATAATTTTTTATTTTATTAATTATTATTAAAAATGTTAATTATTTTATTCTTAAAGTTTTTTATAATCTAATATCATTTTAATTAAATAAATTATTTGAATACCAATGGTCTGATTTTGGATATATATTTCTATTTTGAGGTAATTATAAAAGATTATAAAAGTAATTAAGGTTTTATCATAATAAGAATTAATTAATATATCATTTTTATAAAGTTTAATTAAATTTAAAACTTCAATGAGAGTTTGAAATAGAAATAGATTCATATAAAAGTTAAAAAATTGTCTTAATATATTTATATACATTTATATAATAAATACTTATACCAATTAGTATTTATAATTTATATAAAAATGTTATTATAATGATATAAATTATTGTAATTATTAATGGTTATTATTGTTTCTTGCTGTAAATGATTATCCGTTCTAATTTTACCTAAGAATGCTTAATTCAAATTTAATAAGCCATTTCAACTTTGAGTTGTAACTTTTTTTTTTTTTGAAGTGCTACTGCGCCATTTTTCGCACCTGGAAATTTTATAGGTTTTTTTGAAATTCTATATCTGATATGTAAAAACCGCTAAACCAAAACAAGGACCTATGACCAATAAATGTTCCCAAATGCGCCCTACCAAAATGAGAATTCCAATTACAATTTGGTTTATTCAATGATTTTTGGCTTACAATCGGTTAATCTACGACTTTCTTTTTTAATGTTTATTTCTTCAAAATTATAGAAATAAAATTTTTACTACATGTTATTATTATTATTTACTTTGTCAGTACATTCTTTCTCGGTTTTATCAATTATTTATTAATTGCGAAATGACGTTGTTCGACGATGAAGTGGGTTAATAAATCATCAACAATTATTACTACTTTTTTAATTTTTTAAAGACTACTTTATTAAAATATACTGATTTCGTTTTGTAGAGCGATTTTCTCATCAGGTATTATATGGGTATTTATGAGAAATGTCCAGATCGATTTGTAAAGATTAGTGAAATCATGCCGAAATATAATCCAAGGCAAATATCGGCTCGGTAAGATAAAGATAAATTATTTTTTTGTTATGTTAAAAAAAAAAAAAAAAATTAAACATTTTATAAATTAATTTAGTTGGAGAGACTATCTCGATCCTAATTGTAAGTGTATCTTAACTTTTTCTCTACTTTTTTTTTTTTTTAAAAAAAAAAAAAAAAAAAAAAAAAAAAAAAAAAATAGCACCGTTTAATATTTTTATTCACTCGGATAGTATGTAACGACCCTTTTACGGAAGATGAAAAAAGATATATTATTGAACAGACTCCAAATCACCGAAAGTCGGATAATATTTGTTGGAGAGATTTAAGTTCTGACTTGGAAAAAAGATTTGGTAGGTTTCATTCCTATAATAAGATCAAAAGTTATTGGAATGTGTATCAAAAACGTCAGAAAAAGAATTCTTTTGAGCGAACTGTTCCCTTGCTTTTAAATGGAGAAAATGGAGAAAAAAAATATAGAAAAGAATCTAGATCTTCGATCAATACAGATGGTCGAATCCCTGTTTCCTTTCTTTTACAAGAATAGAGTAAAAAAATATAAAAAAAAAAAAAAAATCTAAAGTATACCCTATTGCCTCTTTTTTTATAATTTGAAAATGTAAGTTTAGAAAAAGATATAGTTTCGATCATTTCTGATAATATTTTTTACAGAGTATTCTTTTGATGGGATAATTTAATACTTTTTATTTTATTTTTTTTATTATATGCTTATTTTCTTATTGGACGGGTTAACTTGAACTTCAGTATCACATGTTTGTATTGTAACCATCATTGAGTTAGTTGTATATCTTTTCTTTCGCTTTCCATAAATTTTACTTGTGTCTTATTACAAAAATTTTTAGTTTCTCTAGACGTTTTCAAACGTTACAATGGAATTGAAGTATATATTATTTTATTTTAAAAATAAATCAATTAAATATATATGTATATTTTTTTTTTATAGACATTGAAAAGAGAAACAAAATATAATATTATTATAATAATCCTAGGCATTATATAATATGCTTTTTTTAAAAATAAAGATGTTTTTTAAGAAAAAAATAAAAAACTAAAAACAATTATATTATATCATATTATCAAAAAGTTATTCAATCAAAGATAGGTTTCATAGGCGGAATATTAGACTGTGGAGGAAAAGGTTTGGGCTCATAAACTTCAAGTTTTGGCAGTTCTTGAATTCGATCAAGTCTTCTTTTTCTAGTGTGCAAAAAATTCTTGATCTTGTTCTCAGAAAATAATTTTTTATATTCCTTTTGTGTCAAATCAACTATTTTCGTAAGAAATTTTTCATTTTGATCGGCGCATTGAACAATAAAAATTTTTTCGTCTTCATTTAAGGGATCCTTACAAACTAATAAAAATAATGAAATTAAAATCCAGGATAAAATTAGAATTAAGATAAAAGATCATTATCTAAATAATTATCTTACGAGCTGGGTTTAGATTATTTGACCAACTAAATTAAAAATAATAAAAATAAACAACCATTTTAATATATTTTTTAAAAAGAGTAAAATTAATTTGAATAAAATGATGTCTTACTGTTGTCTAATTTGTTTTGAACTTTTTTCAATAGAAGAAATCTTAGCAAGTTCTTTACTAAGTTTCGTATAACTATTTTTTGGATGATTTGGATTACGTTGCATCCATTCTAAAATTAATTCATTTTCCTACCAAAAATATATATATTTATTTAAATTAAGAATAAAATTAAGAAAATTTTTAGTGACTTCACAGTTTATAATTATTAACATACAGCTTGATTAAAGATTGATGTTCTTCCCATTTTATTTCTCAAAAGGACGAGTATGAGCTGAATGAAGCAGTAACGAACGATGTGTGAAAGAATTTGGTAGACGGATGAAGTAATGACTTAGGTAAGCAGGCGAGCGAAGTATAATTAACGAAAAAAGTATGAATAGCAATAACTGTACGTTACCTTTTAAAGTTTATCTCATTTAAAAAACTTTTTTTGCAATAGTTAAAAAGTTTAAGAAAAAGCTTGCTTTAAATACGCTAAAACAAGGTGATCACGGAGTTATTGATATTTCTAGAATTTAAATAAATCCAAAAGTATGTTTTAAGAATTCTGCAAAGGAGGGGTTCTCGGAATATTTTAACAACAGTCTTACCTAAATTAGTGTTAGTAGTTCTAGACATGTATGTACTACACAAATATCGAAAAAAAATTTATAAACTTAATTTCTTCATTTTATATTATTATTTACCGTAGATTTTAAATACTAATCAATATTATTACATTTTAAATTATCATATTCTGTTTCACTGAATTGAATAATACATTTTTTTAAAAAAATCTTAAAATCATAATTATATTTAATTTATTACACTTAAAATTTGTACTAATTATATTAAACTTATAAAAAAAGGAAATAACTAGCTGTAACTGTAGGTGATAGCATCTGTGTTCATTTATAATATAACATGTGAGCATAATTATATCACGTAAATTGATTTATTATACTTTTATAAATTGACTATTAACTTTTTAAATGGAAAACAAATTGAATTTATTATTCAAAATACTAATATATATACATATTATTAAAATGCAAAAAAAAATTAATTAATCTGAAAATAATAAACAAAATTAATAAAAATGAATTAAAATATAATTTACATATGAGTAAATTTAAACTTATATTTATAGAAATTAGATAATATTTATCTAATTTATAAAGTTACAAAATTAATACTTTATTCTATTTTCAACAGATAAGTAAAATGATAAACTTTACTTATTTATAAATTTTTTATATCAAACAATATTTTTATATTTTAAACATTACAAATAAATCAATATCTTTTTAAACTTAAATTATTAGTTTCAAATTTCTAATATTTATAAAAAAGTTCTATATATTTATATCTAAATTATTATATATAAAATAATAGCCTAATTTTTTAAACAAAATACTTACATATTTAAAATAAAAACAAATTAATTTTAGAAGAATACAAATATTATTTTATATAAATTGAACTATACATATACTTATATTTTTATATTAAAACTTAAAACTTTTAATGTTAATATTATTGAAAATATTAATAAAATTAATATAAAAGTATATTATTTAGTTATCTAAATATTAATATAAAAATCTTTTAATATTTATATGAACAATTATTTTCAATATAAATCTATTTTTTTCTTCAAAAAAATGTATTAGTATTTATGAAATTATTAGAATTAATATAGTAAAATTTCTTATAATTTTAAAGAAAAGTATTAATATATTGATAATAATACTTTAAATAATTTAGTTAAATTAGAATTGAAAAACTTTATTATATATTCTTATTATAATAATATTTAAATAGTATTATAAAATTAAAAATGTGATTAGCTATTATAGATTTAATTACAGTCAACCTTCTCTAAATACATCCCCTTAGAACCATAGTAAAATTTTTAAAAAATATGTATTTAAAGAGGGGTGTACATTTAAAAAGAAAATTTTTATATAAATTCTATATATTTAAGACTAAACGAGAGCATGGATTTAGAGAGAAAATATATAGTATATATATTTAAAAAAAATGCATTTAGAGAGGGTTGACTGTAATATAATATATATATAGTCATAGTTTTATTAATTCACAGAAAATTTGATTATATTTATGTATAAATTTATATATATATTATATAAAAGTTACTGCATATAGTCTAATTCACTTATTATAAATTTTTTAATTATTATATAATTTTTATATAAGGTATTTAATTGATATAAAAATTATAATCAATAATATTATACAAAAGAAGATATATATGAAAATGATCAAAAGGATAATATTGATTCCTAAGAAATCATATATATTTTATACATCTTCTATATCATCTATGATATATATTTCTTTTATACTATTAATATATAATTTTTTTAGCTTATAACTGTTAAACGTGATATCAAAGGGTTGACTTTTTTATAGTTTACATATAATTCTAAATTAGCTTATTGTTAAATTCCAGTTATTTTACTACTAGTTTATCAAGTTAAGCTAAATTTACTAGACATAAGTGACTTTATTCATAAATCATAAGTTATACAGGAATTTACGAAGAGTTTATATAAGAAATACAGAATATTTTATTAAAGTAGAAAAGAAATAACAAAATAATAATATATAAAGAAATAAGAAAAGAGAAATAAGAAAATAGGTGTATATAAAGTAAAGAGTAGTATTATGCTATCTTTTATAAGAGAAAGATTTCTATACAGCCATTAGTTTATCTTTTTCTAACTAACAAAAGAGCTTGTATTTATATCTATTCTATTATATATTTTAACATATCTAATATATTAACTATGTTAACTATATCTACTATATTAACTATTTTAGACATATCTAATATGCTAGATATATTAACTATATTAAATATGTTAAACATATTTAATATATTTGATATTATTAAAATTTGTACTTTGCCATATATTTGTAGATTTGTGATCATTAAGATTAATATCTGATCATATTACTCATTTTTTAAGATTTCTATTCTAATAAAAATTTCTAAAATACTGTTAAGAAGATCCTAATATTTGTTAGATTTAAGTCGTCTAATCTAGATCAATATTAAGAAACAAGTATTTAAAATTTATTTGCTTTCTAAATTTTCAAAAAAAATAAACACAAGTTAAACATTAATAGTAATATACTATAATTATTTGACTTTGAAGAATCCTATATATAAGCATTATCTTTTTAAGCATTTTGCAGATAAATTTGTCTACAATTTTATTTAATAATTAAAATTATTTATATTTTTAAATATTTTTAAAATAATTTATTTAAAAATTAATATTT